AAAAATATTAGCAGTGTTTGGATTTTGAAACCAGGGCTGTTTAGATCCAGAGTTCTGGTGCTACCTAAGTTTGAATCTAAAACTACAGTTTGAACCTGGCCCTTTAATATGGCTCTGCCTTTGTTTAAGCCTATAGTTTATAGGTAACTAAAACTTCAGTAAGTACATAAGGCCAATTCCTCTCTAATGACAATTAAATATCAATGTGTTACAAATCATCAGTCATTAGCCATATTTTCTTGTTCTGATGAGATAGATCAGTCACTCATGGATAGTCATTCACTACTTCCTTACATATATTGTACATGTCAGAGACAAAAAAGAATGATTTTTGATACTTACTATGAAGAAGAATGCCCACAGTATATTGTGTTTAATGTTCATTTACTGTTTATTTTTCTACAGGAAAAACATCTGAGTGCTTACTATAAATGAAACGTGATTACAAAAGGACTAAAATAGATTTTGTTTGGTCCCCTTATATACATTCACTATTAAAAATTCTGCAAAATGGAATGACTAAGTAATCAACTACACCTTGTTAAGCCAAGAAAAGCTGAAGGGTATGCAATGTTTTGGGAGCATCAGAAGGTCTGACAGGTGCAAAGGAGGACATTTGGAGCTCCTAATTACTGTCATCATCTCTTTTGCTTTGTGGTGGTATGAATATTGCTGCAGCAGGGCAAGGTTCCCTGACAGAGATGCATCAAAATTGATATCACTTGGTATAAGAGGTGATGGCTAGATGCCTAGACCTTATAGATTCATAGATTGTTAGGGCCTGGAAGCGACTTTGTAGATCATCAGGTGCAGTACTCCTGCACTAGGCAGGAAAAGACAACTGGGGTAAAGTGACCCCAGTGAGGTGACTGTCCAGTCTCCTTTTGAAGATTTCCAGGTTAAGTGACTGCATCACCAGTGGAGGGAGTTTATTCCACAGTCTGGACACCCTAACTGTGAAGGAGTTTTTCCTGGAATTGAGCCTAAAGCGGCCTTCTGGGAGTTTGTATCCATTGCTCCTGGTCTTCCCCAGGGGTGCCCTGGTGAATAGCTGTTCACTGAGTTCTTGATGTACTCCCCTGATGTAGCAGTAAGCCGCTACCAAGTCCCCTCTCAGCCTTCTCTTATGTAGGCTGAAGAGGCCCAAGTCCCTCAGCCTCTCCTCCTCTGGCTTGTCTTGCAAGTCCCTGATCATACAGGTGACTCTTCTCTGGACCCTCTCAAGATTTTCCACATCCTTGTTGAAGTGTGGCGCCCAGAACTGGATGCAGTACTCCAACTGCGGTCTCACCAGTGCTGAGTACAGTAGGAGTATTACTTCCTTAGTTTTGCATGAGATGCAATGGTTAATGCATGCTAGAGTGTTGTTTGCCCTGCTGGCCACAGCATCGCACTGCTGGCTCATGTTCATGAGATGGTTGATCCTACTCCTAGGTTCCCTTCGGCCACAGTGCAAGTCAAATCGTCGCCACCAAGCCTGTAGGCATGTGGATTGTTTGCCCCCAGATGGAGCACCTTACACTTCTGAGTGTTGAACTTCATCTGGTTCTAGTCTGCCCAACTCTCCAGTCTGATCAGGTCCACCTATATCTGCAACCTATCTTCTGATGTGACCACACTGCTTCATAACTTGGTGTTGTCTGCAAACATGGCCAGCGAGCTTTTCACCCCCACATCCAATCATTGATAAAGATGTTGAAAACCACTGGTCTAAGCATGAACCCCTGAGGGACAACACTGGCCACTTCTCACCAGGACAACACAGATCTGTTCATGAAAACTCTCTGGGTCCTACCATGCAGCCACTGAACTGTTGAGCAGTTAAGCCCACAATCTTCCTATTTTTCCACAAGGATATCACGGGATACTAGATCAAAAGCCTTTTGGAAGCCTAGGTTTATAACGTCAACCTTCTCTCCTGTATCCAGGTGGCGAGAGACTTGTTCATAGAAGGAGATGAGATTGGTAAAACAAGACCTACCTGTGACAAAGCTATGCTGGCTGTTGTTCAGAATCTTACCCTCAACGAGCATATCACACATAAATTCTTTAATGAGTTTTTCCAGGATCTTCCCTGGGATGGAGGTTAGGCTGATTGGCCTATAGTTGCCCAGGTCCTCCCTCTTCCCGTTCTTGAAGATGGGCACAATGTTGGCCCTCTTCCAATCCTCAGGGATCTCCCCTGTGTGCCACAGTTTCTGAAACAGTTTTCCCAGGGGTTCCGCAATAACCTCAGCCAGCTCGGGTGAAGTCCACCTGGTCCTGCTGACTTATAAATGTCTAGCTTTTCTAGTTGGTTTTGCACCAGCTCAGAATCCACAGTGGGAAGGCTGTCATTCCCACCATAACCCCTGTGATCCTTATCTTGCTTGTCTTTCCCCTTGGTCCAGTGAAATATTAAAGCAAAGTGGGCATTCAGGAGTTCAGTTTTTTCCCAAGTGTCTGTTACCAGTTGTCCTGAGGTGTTAAGCAGGGGCCTCACGTTTGTATTAGTTTCCCTTCTCCTCCCTACATACCTAAAGAAGGACTTCTTATTGTCTTTGATTCCCTTGGCTAACTTAAAGTCAGTCGCCACCTTAGCTTTCCTAATCATTTCCCTACAAGTGCGGATCACTGTTGTATAGTCTTCCTTGAGGACTGTCCCTAGCTTCCACTGTGTGTATGCCTCTTTTTTCTTTTTCAAGAGGACCGTGATGTCCCTGTTGAGCCAGGAGGGCTTGCCAGCCCTTCTGCTACCTTTCCTCTTCGTGGGAATGGTTTTTTGTGCTTCAAGGATTGTGTCCTTGAGGAACGACCACTTTTCGTATACCCCATTCGTGCACCCTTGAAACTGTTTATCATATTCCTGCATTCCAGATGCATCTTCTGCTGGCACATCATCCTCTGTGATGAATCCAGCACAGCATTATTCATTAGCAATCATTTTTGGTGAACCAAATTCCAAGTTCTCATGGCAATCCAGCTCAAAAAGCACACATCAGTAAACATTTCCCCAAATGTGGAAACCTTGACTGCAGTTTTGTGCCAATGGGGGATTGCATTTTCGTTTCCCCGATAGCTTACTCCTCAGCCTTCTGGCTAGGAGTAAGCCTAAGAAACATTTGAACCCCCAAGGCCTCCATCCTTGCTGCTTGTACATAGGATGCCATGGATTTGGGGAGCATCCAAAGCCCAAGACTGGTGGGTTTGGGAGGGAGGATACTTGCCTGGTGTTAGAGCCACACACACAAACTTGAATGACTGATCTCTCTGCTCAGTAAAAATTTGGAACTTGACTACTTGGACCTTGCCCAATAGAATTTGGAACTGATTTGGCCTTTGAAATGAAATTAAAAAAAAAAAGGTTCTCTCAGGGTGAGGCTTATCTCTTGTATTCTAAGTGTGCTGACCACTGCTATTTCCCAAATGCAGAAAACTCAACTGCATAATTTGTGGTAGTGGGGGACTGCATTCATGCTTTCCTCCTGCTCGCATTGTGCAAAGACAGACTCAGCAAGTTCCGACCTTGCCAGTCTTCAATACTGTTGATATTCACCTCCTCACTTTGCATCAGCACTCCATGATGCCACAGAGGCATAATAGGGATGCCGAGATCCAGGGCAGAGATGCCATCTGGCTACTACTATCAGGCTGCTGACAAGATTATGCAGCTGTGGAAGCAGCTATTTTACTTCCATCCCCACAAGTCAGTGCCTGGGGCTGCTGCCCCAATGCCCCTGCCCTAGGTCCACTGCTGTAATGTACCAGGCAGCAAGCACCTATCGCTCTGCTTTGGGACACTACACTTTGCCATCCTTGGGCAGTGAACTTGAGGCCATCCCTGCCTGGCCTCCCCACCTCATTTCCCCCAATCCAAGTAGCACATGGCCAGGTATTCAAGAGGCTGCACAGCCACCGGTCAGGGATGATCTAGGCCCAGCAATGCTTATGTTCTACTATGACATTTCCCATGCTTCTGGGCTTTGCTGGTTGCTTCCTCCACCCCCACCTTTTCTGCTATGTCAGAGTGTTTTTAAGCCTTGCCCAGAGGTATTGGGTATTGGCTACAGCCAAGGTTGTAGACTTTAACTGGGGTGTGTCAATGCTCCTGCTGGGACCAAAGCCAGAGGTTCTGGCTAAAGGGTCTTGTCCCTCCTATCAGGGTCAAGGAATTTTACCCCATGGTCAGATTGGTAGAGACTTGGGTTTTTTGCCTTCTTCTGTAGCAAGGGGATGGCCCTCTATCTGGGATCTCTTGAGCATATATTGACATTTCATAGAAGCAGAACATCAGCTGCTGTGATTCCCCTGCTTGATCTGTGACCAGTTAGGGTGTTAGGTCTGTGTTGTCAGGGATGACAGTAGTATTATGTAGAGCTTAGGTTATACGTGTCTGGGATGGTTTGGATAGGGATGATCTTGCCTGAAGCAGGGGTTGAACTAGTTGACCTCTAGAGGTCCCGTCCAGTCCTACTTCTTCATGATTTTATTGTGTTAAATTAAACACCTGCAAAACACAAATTACAGCAAACTGACTTATAAATGTACAGAAAAACCTCATATCTCCAAATAAGAAGTAGATGTGGGACTGCTGTGCCATTTGTAATATAGAACAGCTAGTTCAAAGAATGTCATCTTTCTGAGTCTTTAGGGTCCGCCTTTTCCCTATAGCAATACCAAACAAAGAAGTGCTGGAATCCATGACTGACACTTAAGCCACCTGCATACCAAAGATTCTAACTGCTGTTTTTGAGTCAAAAGATACTACTCTTGTGAGGCCAACAATAAGGATTTTAAATTCCTTAAAAGTAAACATGTTGTTTGTATGTCTAAGTATGCGTCTTCAATCATATATGGAAAAAAAAACACTCCAGTTTGATAATTTAATGTTACTGTAAAAAGAAAAAAACCACAATAAGCTATCAAGTCTTCCTACAAAGTTACCATACTGAATTTAATTATTTTTTTTAAAAGTTTCATCTCAGAAACTTGCTTTAAAATATTGCAAAATATCCACAGCATTTTAAGCTACAAAAGTGTAATTTTATTTGCTCATGTATAAAGCTAAATCCCACATTTTTCAAATGAAATTCATTAATGAAACTGTATGTAGTTCCCTCCACAAAAGAGAGAGAGAAAGTGTTAATGTGATTCCAGAATCAAAGTCCCTTAAGTTTCAGTGTAATGTCTTTATCAAGTTGATGCTTGTTAGATATCTTTAGACTGATCATCTTCTTCAAGTTTCCTAATTTCGTTCTTCAAACAGTTGATAGTTTCACGGCTTGCTTTTAATCTCTCTTTAAGCTCAGCTATTTCAAAACTGGTTTTCTTTTTGGCAGCTTCCAGCTTTTCTCTGGTTTTAACTTCAAGATCTGCAACTGGGGTGGTGACAAAGGAAAATACTTGTAGTATACTGTAAAACTGATATTACACAGAATATTTAAGAATTCACAAAGGTACAAAGCCAATTCTGGCCTGGAAGACTGGGTATAAGCTCAGAAGAATTCTCAGATCCCATTTCAAATTCACAGGGGTATGCCAAAATAATTCTACTTGTACACTAAACAGATTTGCTCTGCCAGTTTTAAAGAACTGCATTTCACAAATACCTTTTCAGAGCAAAAACAATATATGGAGATAGAGCCAAATAAATCAAGGTGATACTGATAAGAAAGTGGAAACTCTGGAGGTACTGAAGACTGATGCTTCAACACATATTCTTCGGGTGTAAGCAATCCCTGTTCACAGTAATTATTGTACATATTTTGGAGCCCCGTGGCACAGAAGCAGACTTTACAAGTATCCTACTGAAACCTGATGAAGGGGCTTGACTCATCTTTTCAGCTTATGTGCAAGATTGTAAGAAAACACAAACATCCCCCACTCTTCCTCTTTTTATGCTGGTAGCAGCAACAGAAATATGTACAGATAACATGCATTCTGTACCACTGTACAAGCATGCTACTCCCACCAATGTATCCATTTGTGTTAACATTAAAATTAACAGAGTCCATACTCCAAAGAAACTTCTACTTGGTATTTAGTTTCATGGGTATATTTGTGGGTAAGCACAATGAGATTCTGTGGGCCAGATCTTTGATACCCCTGATCATAGGAAAACCTCTATAAAATTGTAGTAATTTATACTTCTGGTAGACATAGGTATATAGCCATCTCAACTCCATAATTTACTTAAATGCTGCATATTTTAAAAAAAACAAACAAAGAAAAACAACTATCCAACTAAATTAAAAACTGCAAAATAGAAAAATATCATCATGATAGGCCAAGAAGGGGGTCTTTTTTGGTATGTCAGCAGCAGGGCTTTGTCTACACCTGCACAGGGGTCAGGCACTTTTCCATGCTTTCTGGACACAGAGAAGAGGTGTGGGGATGCAAGCACAGCTGGAAGCTGCCTGGCTCTGGTACATCTCCTAGCTGCTCTGTCCTGACATAGTTGTTGTCACAAGTGGAGGCAAAGCCACCTGGATCCACAGGTCAAAGCTGGCCCACAGGCCATACGTTACTGACCCCAAGTGAAGAAAATAAAAAGAGAGAGGATTTAAAATCTAAGAGACAGGACACTACCATTCAAACTCATTAATAAAGTATTTTCATTTTGATTTCCTTCATTTCAGGGTTGTTACAAAGCAAGCAAAGAACTGCAAGATGGGAAAGCAATTCATACAAAGGCTCTGTCTCATGGATTTCCATGTTTTAAAGTGTTATTGCTGTTTAAGGTAAAACAAAGATATCTGTTTAAGATAAACAGCTAATCTCTCAAATCAGTTGAGCCAAATTAATACTTTATGTATTCCTTGATTCCAATTAAGTAACACCAGGGATACATATTTGCATCAATCTTCAGAGTAAATTTGTTAGAAGTAAACAATTAAACACTGCCCCCCCAATCCAAAACCCTGAAGAACTTAAAATACATACAATATACCTGCACGTTAATAGACTGGACTACAAGTGTACAAGGACCCTTCTCAAAAGATACACATAGATCTCTATATAGAATTCCACTTAGCAGCAGTAGACCAAGATAATTTTACTGTGTGCATTCTTAAGGAATGTTAAAAACAAGAATTATAAAAGTTCTGAAAAAAAAATCACATATGTACTCTTGGAATTGTTATTTGGCACTTACACTCAGTCTCATGTTTGTAAGCTCCTAGTGTCAGCTGACGAGAGGTTGTCAACAGTTGCTGCATCATAGCAGTAGGATCTTGAAATATCTAAGGAAGAAAGAGACACCTCTTAGTCCTACTCTAAAATAAAATTTTTAAAAAAATGTAAAGGTGATGTTTTTTCTTACCATTTCATCATAAAATTCAGAAACCACAGTTTTCTTCCCCAGTATTGCATTGGTATCAGATTGAAACAGCTTCAGCAAATGATACAAAGTTACCTGCACAAAGAAAATTTATTAACTTTAACAGACTTCAGAGCAGTTCAAGAAAATCAATCAAAGGTTATCATCGACAATGGAATTAATTGGCACTAGCTCTTCTTGTTGCATAAGTGTGCAGATTTTTTTTAAAGTTATGAGAATACAACATTAATCCTACTTTGAACTTTAACCAGAGTAAGCCACTAAATACTGAATTCAGTTAATCTACTGAACTAAGTTACCCCGAGATCAAATCTCGCTCAACAGGCAAAATGCCCTAAAAAGTAAAACAACACACTTAATGCTGTTCTAATTGCTACCTCCTTTTAAAAATTAATCAAACCGATAAAGGACCAGAAAGACCACATAGCTCATGCAGAACATGACCCCTGCAACAAAAATGCTTCCTAATAGGATCAGCCTCCTAAAGGGTTAGATCAGTAGTTCTCAAGCTGTTTTGGGTGGTATATCCCTGCTGCATACTCCACAATGCCATGCTTTGAATAATAAAACAGAACACTGGTGCTTTCTACCCACATCATGTGATCTGATTAGAACAGTCCTGACCATGTCCTGCTCACCCTCTTTCAACAGCATGCTCCAAACCTGGAAATGTGTGGCTGTCCACAGTAGCTTCTCTTTAGCACACTAAAGATACAGGTCTTGCCAACCGCCTCATGGGCACATTTTCGTGTTTTCCCCAATCAGACTGAGCCAAGTAGGCAGGGCATGACCAAGAACATCCTGGCTGGAGCATACTGCCAGTGCAGTGTAAACATGCCCGTTATGTCATAAGAGATACCATACAGTTTTTCTTTTTTCATCTTTTTCTTTTCCCCTTTCCCTACTTCCCCATTCCTTCCTTTCAAACCTACTTAATTCTGCTTCTCAGCTGGCAATCAACTAGATCATCCCCTCTCACGGTAAGAGGGGAGTGGGGGTGACCTTTCTAAGGAGTTGTTGCATGTGATGCCCATTCTTGTTGTTGTGGCATCTGCTGATATGGGCTGGGGCAGCTCCCATATGGAGCAAGGGTCCAGTAACAGGTGCCACCAGTAGTGTAGATCCTAAAGCACTGCTATGTGCAGCACACATCATGGGCCCTGTGCATGTGGCCAGTTTGGCAGCGTTTGGGTCAACATAACAAGACTTTTAACACCCCTGATTAAAGTAAGCTGACGCTATTACTCACAATTATATCTTTGACCACACTAAAGCTTTCCTTTCTTTAAACATCCTTCAAAAAAAAGTGCGTAGCTATTGTAACCCTTCTTGAAACAATGCTGGTATAAGAACAATTTGGTAGAAAATTGGCTATAAATAAGTCTGGGCTACAAATTCAAAGACAATTTCTAACAATTAAAAGAGTAAGATTCTGGAACAGCCTTCCAATAGGAGTAGTGGGGGCAAAACATAACTAGTTTTCACACTATTTGATAAATTTAAGGCTGTAGTTATTTGCATTGGTAGCCTACAATAACAAGGAACTAAGCTTGATTCGAGAAGGTCTCTCTAACCTGAAGCTATGTTAACAGTTGTCTGGTCAAAGAATGATCAAACTGAGATCATTCAGTCCTGGCCTTTTGTCCAAAATGCAAATCAATTTTAAAACAATTTCAACAAGTAAGCATCTTTACCACATTCTATCGGCAAAAAAAGTTTTTTTTAAAACTACTTGTAACCTGTCAGAGATGTACCTGAATGGTCAGGAATGCATCCCTAAACTAATGATGGTAGATGCCACAGACAGTACAGCAGGGGATAGATCACTCTACATCAGTGGTTCACAACATTATACTCAAGGCCCCCCTCAAAGCTTTCACGCTTTTTTGACTATGGAAAAATAGAGCAATTCTTCTGTTGCAAGGAATTCAAAGAGACTGGAATTGATCAGAATGTTTTTAACATTATGGATTCCTATTTGAAACCTCTGGGTTTATCCTATGAATCGTGTCTGCACACAACAGTTCTAACGCTGCATGGCACTCCATGGAACCCTTAAAATGGTCTTAAGGCACCCAGAGTGCAGCAGCACCACAGTTAAGAATCACTGCTCTAGATGCATCCTTTTCATATGCTCTCCCTAAACCATCCATTACTACCACTGTCATCCAACTGTGATTGTGGTGCACCAATGTGAACAATTGCCCAATTAGATCATTTAATAGTGATCTAAAAATTAATCCATGCAGCTACCCCCAAAGCAGTCAAATGGTTATCAAATTTAGATATTAGTCTATGAACGTTGTAATCCTAAAATGTCACACAGAAGATTACCACTGTCAGAGACAACATACTGAGCTAGATGGATCAATGGTTTGATCTAGTATGACATTCTTGGGTTGCTCTTTTTCCATCTAAATTTAGCACATGGTAACTCCAAGATGTGTCGTAAGTCAAGGATAGCAATAAAAGAGTGAAGCTATAGAGATTTCATAACAAATATAAGTTTTCTGATCAGCTGTCCCCTACACCAGAAGTATTATAAATATAAATCAGGCAAGAAAAAAGAAAAATAGTTTAAGAAAAACCAAATATATATATATATATATATATATATACTTACAGGCCTTTCATTGGGATCAATAAAAAATATCTTAATGATGATTTCAAATTCCCCCCAACCTGTTTCAGTAATTTCATATGGCGGTTTGGTAACAACTGCAATGGAAAAACAATATCATGAATACAACTGACTTTGGGCTCTCACGGTAAGTATACCAGGAAAATCAACTAGTGAAGATGTATTGTAAACTGACAGAGGGTTTTTTCCCCTACCATAATTGTTATACCACCTCCCCCAACTAAATAAATAGAGCTGAAAGAACTCTTTTCTATTAACATAGCAAACCCCTTGGTGTGAACACAGCTATCATAAATACCCCTAGCTGAAATAGTTATGCTGGCAAAAGTTTGTAGTGCAGACCTGGACTTAGATTCCATATAACTAATGGAAACATCCCAAGTAAAACAGAGGGCAAAAAACTTACCTCTTAAAGGATTCCCATAGCTTTCATGTAACTTGAATTGAATTTTCTTCACATAAGCAGACATATCCTAAAATGGAAAGTGCAGTCAATGATTTTCAACTGTTTACATAGCACACTGGGAAGACCCCTTTTCCTCATTGTTGCTCCTACATCACAACATGGAGACGAGTAGCCTAATGGGGCCAAACTCCCACACTGAATCATGCAACGTTTTCCCTTATGAAGACCCCATACAATTTTTTTTGCTAGAAGAGGGCTCTGCAATTTCAATGCAACCAAAGATGACACAATGCACAGGCCATAAACTGCAGGGGTGGCCCATCTGAGATCCTCTATACCTGCTGGCACCCGCAGGTGTTACCTTAATTGCTTGTGGGCCGCCAGTTGGTGAACCCTGTTCTTATAATTCTCTAAGGATGTTCTAGTTCCTTTTTACTGTAGTCTACATATTTTCTTAGCAAACAAACTTCTACCATTATCTTTCTTAATCCCAGGTTATTTCTTAGAGCTTGGGTAAAACCAACAAAACCTTGAATACATTTCCACCCACAGCTCTTTTGCTACAACAGAACCCTTTCTTACCAAAGTTAAACCCCTTTTGCAGAGTGAAACAAGGTTTCTACTGTTTCCCAGAGCCAGCAGGTATGTATAGCTAACTCCTGTACCTCCACGCAATTTCTGCAGCTCCTTCAGAAGCTGCCAGATGGAGCTGTATTGAGCCATCAGGTGTTCACTTGTTTCAGAAGTGGCTTTCAGAAGGGCAAGTATTCACAAGGTCTAATCTTAAGATATTTTCTAGGTGGGCTTCTCTATTAGGTAGCACTAAAATGAAGCTGTTAGAATTCTGTCCACATTCTCCTCTTACACAATCATAATTTGAGAACCTCTCTCTGTTGACATTTGGTAACATTCATTATATATACTCATGTAAGGCCTGCACCTTGCAAACATGTATGGAGGTGCTTAACTTCCATGTCAGTGCATCTCACCGTGCTTAAAATTCAGTACAACTAAGTGTTTGTAGTTTAACGAAAGCAAGTCACAATTAAAGGCAAATAGCTTAAATCAAGTCATGCTATTTCAATATTTTTTCTACCTCATTTCTGTAAGGCTTCACGTAAACTGTCCACTGATGAGTATGACCATCTTCCTCTCTTTTCTTTCCAAAGTATCGCGCAACATTTCCATAGACTATAGGTTTCACAATAGTAACACCCTTAAAGATAAAACAAGATCAGAGTTCACATAACCAAAGACAAAAACAAGTGGTGTTGAGAAGCCCCAAGAGTTAACAGCTGCTGTTCTTAGTTCCACTGAAACAATTCTAAACATTTGCATTGGTTCCAATTTTAAAATGGATAATTATTTAACTTACAGCCATTAGAACTTTGAGGCAAATAAATTATAATTTTGTAGACCAGCTAATGGTACTTGTTAAAAAAAGATGAGAAATGTTTGCCTTTCACATCCCACTTTGCAGTCTGCTGGCCCAGACTCCAGGTACAGGCAGACATATCATGCATACCAGCATTACAGTTACCCTGGTATAAAGTGTTTCTCTAGAACATGGGCCTGTCCACACCCAAAACAGAAGCCTCCATCACTTCAGCTATACAGGCAGTCCTCAACTTAAGATGTTTCAAGTTACAATGAACGGCACTTATGACGTTTATAAAGTGAAACTGTTTTGACTTCATGGTGCTTGATCTGATGCAACGCCATACCAGCGAACAAGTTCGCTGCGTCACGCATCTCCCTGGAGAACATCTGTTCAAACTTCCTTAGACACTTTAAGAAATCAGAAAAAAACTCCAGAAAAACCTGCAGCCAAGACTCCTGAGAAGACTCCAGCCAAGAACCCTTCAAAAAGTCCAGCAAAGTCACCTCAAAGAAGTCCTTCCAAATCAATATGATTTCTATTTACAATATAAATAGATGAGTAACATAGCTGCATTAATGTATGATTGATCGAGTACAAAATTCTGGGTTGTTTTTGGTGAAAATAAGGTATTGGGCCTTGGTTCAGGAACCAATCCCCCATTTATAACATTGTTCCTGTGGGAAAATTGGTTCTGAGTTATAATGTTTCGACTTAAGACATGGTTTTCAGGAACCAATTGTGTTGTAAGTCCAAGGACTGCCTGTATTCTGTTCAGGTTTACAGTTGATCCTGATCAGCCTCATACAGGACAGAGCCACACCTTTGGCTGGAAACAGATGTCACCAAGTGAGGCGGATGAGCAGTGCTGGGACGGCTGTGTCCTGCATGGCTGATCTGCTTCACTGGGCAAAACCCACGTGGCCTGTAGCGCTGCAGCATGATTAACCAGGGTGCGCTCTGCTGGGGCTCGAGGGGCAAGATCCAGCACCCCTGGCCAGCTCTCTCTCCTCTCGCAGACTGCGCTGGGGAATCTCGGGGCAAGATCCAGCACCCCTGGCCAGCTCTCTCTCCTCTCGCAGACTGCGCTGGGGAATCTCGGGGCAAGATCCAGCACCCCTGGCCAGCTCTCTCTCCTCTCGCAGACTGCGCTGGGGAATCTCGGGGCAAGATCCAGCACCCCTGGCCAGCTCTCTCTCCTCTCGCAGACTGCGCTGGGGAATCTCGGGGCACATGGCAGTAAAGCCAGGGCTGCCTCCACTAACGGACCTCGAGGTAGGTCTGAGCGGGAAAAGCGCGGGGCTCCCTGCTCAGGGAGACCCGCCTGGAGCACAGCCCTGAACGCGAGGAGCCCCGAGTTTCCGGCTCGTCTTCAAGCCAAGCAGGCCCGGCCCCCCGGCTGCTGCTCGCGGGAGCAGCGAGACCCACCCCCGCCCCGCGGCACCTTTACTCTGCCGCCGGAGTCAGGCCCAAACTCAGCCATTCTCTTGAACATATTGCTCCGCCGGGGGCCCCGCCCGCAGCCGCACCGGGCCGCCTGCGCTCAGCCCCCCACTCCGCGCCAGCGGAGCCACGCGCAGCTCCGGGGGGGCCGGGCAGCAGCGGCGGCTTCCTCCTCCAGCCAGCTCCCCCCTCCCATGTCACCCTCACTTCCGGGCGGCGTGATGACGCACCGCCCCCGCCTCCTGCCATTGCAGGGCAAACGAGTGTGTCATGTGACACGGGGCGCGGTACAGGGGCTGCGACGCCCGAGGGGGCGGGGCTACTGTGGAGGTTGGAGCTGGGCAATGGGGAGGGGGTGTTGGGGGCGGGGCCTGGAGAGCGGCGTTCTAGTGGGGCTGGGCTGATGACGCGTTTAACGGTCGGTGCCCGCGTGGGCTTGGGGTTGGTCCATGGAACTGTCTGCAGTCGCCAGTGACTGCCCGGGGCCGGGTGTGGCGGGCTGTTTGGGGGCCAGGCCCCTGCTCAGCCCTGGGGCTTGAGCGTCTTGCTGCAGACTCCCCGGCCTGGTTTCGGGTCCCACTGAGCCTGGAGCCAGCGCCTCCTTCCCAGTTCGCTTCACACAGCGCGAGGCTGCGACTGAGAGCACCGGAGGGTGCGGGCTGAGGAGGGAAGATTTCATCACAAATAGCTTTACTAATGGAAGTGTGGTGTCCCGTCACACTGCCGGCAGGCTGCCCTGGAGCAGGAGCTGAGGCAGCGGGGATTATGGGGCAGAATCCGCTTCCAGTCACCCTGACCCACACGCCTCCCCCACTGCGGACTCTCCCAAGGAAGGCAGGGCCCGTGCGGATCTGAAGCGTGGTGTTTGCTTGTCCACTGCCAGCCCCTCAGGCCTGTGTGCTGTGTCCGTTGTGCTGAATAGAAAACTGAGTTTGGGCTGGGATTACCAGGCAAAACCCATCTCTGGTCACCCCCAATCACCTCTCTACCGCCAGGGGACTCTCCCAAAGAAGTCCAGGCAGCACGCTACTGAACCCCAAGCTCAGTTTTTGCATGCCAGCCTGCCAGCCAAGAGCCCCCGGGTCCTGTGCACTGTGTACATTGTATCAAATAAAAAGCTGAGTTTGGGCTGTGATTACCGGACAGAAACCCCATTTCCTTAGCATGGCTTCTCACTCCCAGGTGCCCCTCACTCCCAATCCACAGCCCACCCCTGTGCTCTGCCAGTCCCCTCACTCCCCCTGCCCCACCCAGCAGTGCTTGAGTCTTGGCTGCTGCCAATAGTAAGCGGTGGTTGTTGCAGCAAAGCAAAGCACAGACCCCACTCCCCTACTCCTCACCCCCGCCCCCTGATGAGGCTGAAGTTTGTTCCTTATTCCTAGTTCCTTATTCCTTATTCCCAGTTCCTTTTTCAAAGCTAATCTAGGCCGAAGAAAAATTTAGTAATGACTTCCACATCCTAGAGAGAGAGAATTTCATAGGTATGCATATGTACTACTTAATATGTAAAATAATATCCCACATCAAGTACAGAGCCCTAAATGAAGGCCAAATTAGGATGGGAGTATGGAGCAAAATACTTCTTGGGCCACCCCAAGCATCATGGAGATGCTATTGGGGGACTGTCCCAAAGAACCCTGACCACAGTCCTGCCTGGTCCAAACCACGGTTTGGCTGTGCCAGGCCACTAACTAACAACCCCCATGCCCACTATACTAAGTATAATGGCTTGAATAAGGAACTGGCTTTCAGGATAGGATTATGGCTAGAAATTCTGCTTGGCCCAGCCCAAAATCCAGTTCCTTATTCGGGCCCAGATACTTAGCACTGTGTCTGGGGGGTGGTGTCAGTTGGCAACCTGGTGCGGCTAGTCAAGTCTCTATTCAGAGATGTTCAGAAGCATCCCCCAGTGGCACAGACACATGGTCTCCACTGCTCCAGAGCCACCACCACACCTCAGCACTGCGTCCAACATCCCTGCCATGTGCCGGCCCTGCAATGGCCCTGTGGGAGGGAGGGGCAGCCCCGCACTGCCCCTTGCATCTCCAGTCCCCCCAAATAATATTTTCTCCCACCA